TGGTGATCCTTGGATGATGCTGCCGGTCAAGAGAGAAGTAGATGGTGACGGCTGATCTGCGATACCGTTCCCGCGAGCCTTCTTTGGTATGATAGACTGTGAATCGTCCGCCGATGTAGGTTGCGCCTCGGCGTCTTCGTCAAGAGTGTCGTCCAAGCGTAGCTAGGATGTGTTTTAATGAATGAACGACGTTGAAGTAGATGACCGCTGTCCAAGATGCGCGTTCTTGATCCATCGAAGTGGGTTTATACATGAGCTGGAACTGTTTCTGCAGCGTCGATTTCCCGCTCTCGGCTTGACCAAGGAGAAGAAGCTTGCAGCGCAGGATGAGTATATGCGGCGCATAATTGTAAAGCGCATTGACTTTGACGTCGCCCTTCTTCTTCTTCAATCGCTCCCTCTCCTCCCGCAGGTCGTCGTCGATTTGCTCAGAAATCCGTTTCGCCTCGGCTTCTGCATACAGACGGGACGTACGCTCTGCCTCCGTCTCCATGGGTGATGGTTTGAGGGCGGCGCGGAGATGGGATCATCCTGGCTGTGGAGCGACGGCGTGCGCATTAGTCGAGTGGGCGGAGGCGATGGTGGTGGTTATGAAGAAAGAAAAGAAGACGGCCTGTTGAGCAGGAAATTTAAATGCATTGCATTGAGTTTCACTGGGGATGCCACGCATTACCAGCTATTGTTTGAGGAAGTCTCGGGATTGGGAGATGTCTCCTTTTTCCCTGTTCATAAGTTACAGCTCAGTTTTCGCGACGAGACGAGACGAGGAATGGAGAGGGGCTTACCATGCCCACATGGGGAACTTGTGCACCAAAAAGTCACCCCCGTGACGAATTTATCTGTTCCTCTTGAGTAAATGACTCGGACGTAGATGATCGTGGACGTGTGTTCTTCGTATTTGCTCTCTTTGAGAACCTAGGTGGGTGATTTGATTGGTGACGGTGAGATGATGGTGGATCATGGGGCTCACTGGGCTTATGTACTCGCGTACGGCGAATAGGTTAGACTGGATTGGTTATGCCTGGATAAGTTGGTAGGAGATGAATGACGCGATTGTGGACTTACTAGGAGGGTGCATGGAGGTTGGGTTGACGGAGAGCTGTTTTTGTATAGAACCTCCTCAAACAGCTGCGCGGTGCCGAAGCAGAGGCGGTTGAAACGTCACTGCAGAGTCGCGTTCGACAATCAGCATGCGCACGGCACCAACATGGCCTTGTTGCAACTACAAACATGCAACTTTGACACAAAAGTATGTCTCCCGAATTTTGAGCTTCTTTCTTACAACATAAAATGGCCATCCTCAGATGCGCGTGATGATCAAGTCCCGCTCAAGGCCTACTCACAGGCTACCACTCTAGAAACACTGCTTGTACGCGACCAGTCAGTGTAAACAAGGACTCGTTGAAGCACTATCCGACACCCCTCACATAAACCCAACATAAGCACATGGCTTCGACCCTCCTTCGCACTCCCTCGCCCCATCAGATCTTCAGATCCTAAGTAATCCCGCCATCCGAGTTTACATGGCCCACCTCGCCAGCATCCATCCCTGCGTGCGGAGCCTTCGCAAAGAACCTCCTCGGCCCTTCCTAAAAGTGATCCTCCAAAGTTTCCCTTCGCCTCAATCCCCCATTCCACCTTGAAAGCCTCGTCTTCCGCCTCAACTGCCTCCCCCCCACTTCAAATCTTCATCCCTACCCTCATACAAACTTCCCTCGATGCGTCGGACAACACTAACTCTACCTCGTCACTTCCACGTTCTCCCTCTATTGTTAGAATTGACGTATTCGATGCTGGGTGGGCGCAGCGCGCGGC